AGGGAGGGGTGGCAAGTGCAAGAGGAGAGACTGGGGCAGTTCTGAGGAGTGTCAAGGACAGGTAGGAGCAAAGCTATGCTTTAGCAAAGCAAACCTCTTAGCAACTGATCAGAACTGGATGGGTACAAAGTGGGATGGGGAGAAACCAGGTAGAAAATTATGTTTTCGTCCAGGAATAAGACATGAGAAGCTGAAACAGGGCCATGAAAACGGAGAAAAACAGGAGAAGGTGATACTGACAGGGCAGGAAAGAAGGAAACTTATTTATGGGGTCTCCTATGTTCCAATCATTGTGCAAAGTACTTTCCATCAGATTTTCCTCTCACTCCTCAGAGAGACCCTGTGAGGTAGATCTGCAATCCCCACTTGGCAATGAGGAACGAACTCAGAGGAGTAGTGATTTACACCAGACTGCAGACGTTTTCAATCGTGGATTCAATTTGAACATTTTTAAGGTTGAAGTGTGGGTACACCACCAGGTGGCGACAGACAGCCGAACATTAAAAACATAAGTAGGTTTGGGGAATCTGGGAAGTCCCCATTTTTCAAGGTCAGGAGAAGAGATGTCCTTGACAGGGAAGAGAGCTTCCCTGAAGGGCCTGGAGACGGACACCTGAGGCACCCCAACAATCCAGGTTTGCGAGCAGCCAAAGTTGCTGAGGAAGGCAGAAACAGGACCAAGAGCTGGCTTGTGACAGAGGTCATGGGACGAGAGCTTCATTGTGTGGGTGGGCAGTGGAACCTCAGACACAGGGCATGGGAAGGAAAGGAGATTTCGGCCAAAGCAGCAGACTGTACAGAGGCTTTCCAAGTGCCATTCACCGCTAAGCGTATTGCTGAGCAGTTGTGGAGTCTCCGGAAGGGACTTCCCTGGGTGTGAACACACTTATTTGAATATGTAAATTTTTATGCACATGTTTAAAAAACCCCTCCCACCCATGACTGCATTCTGCCACAGCAATGCCTCTTCCTCATCTTGCTCAGCAGCTCATTATTACAGTACATTATTACATGAGTCTTGGACTGTCTCCCTTTCCTGCGCTGCTCCCTGATGCCCCTTTGCAGCCCCAGCAAAAACCTGCACATGAGGGAGCCATGCCTGTGTCCTCCATAAGGGCAAAGCACCCACCGTGAGCTGATGATCGGTCCCCAGCATGTACTTCTGCTCCTTGCCAGGCGAGTCCCTGTTTATGTGGCCCACCACAAAGAGTGAGGCGGGAAGGCGGATGGATGGGCTTGCCAGGACACTCCCCCAAAGAGCCGCGTAAAACACCTCCTTGCCCACCACAAGGGACAGTCGCAGGAGCAGCGCATCTGTTCTGTTGAGAAGAGATGAAGGAAGCTGAGGGCGCGGCTCATCTTCCCACGTCTCCCAGCACACCGCCCCCTCAACCCGGGCGGATCAGCACAGCGACTGGCCACGGGCTGGAGACGGGTGTCATTGCTTGGAACTGCGGCAGCCTATCGCCCTTCAGTGTTTGTCTGCCTGCTGGCTGTCATACTGAATCTGAATTTGCTAAATAAACATGTCACAAAGAGGCACAGACTCTTGACCAACGGGAAGCATCTGACTGTTGGCCACCATGGCAGAAACCTGTCTCCGCCCCCGGCCTTCCACGGATGGATAGCACAGTACTCATGGAAAGGCGGCTCCACCAGCAGAAAGGGGATGAGCCACTCTCTATAAAAGCATAAGGAGTCCTTCACGTGTCAAAAAACAACAAAAAAGGCTGATGTGACTGACTGAAGACACAAGCAATTATAAAGACACCGCCATCCTGAGCACAGCCAAAAATATGCCAAGCAACACTGACTGTAGAAACACTGGGGACAAATTCGCCTGGGCCTCCCACCACCTTGCACTTTCCACGAAGCCTGGAGAGGAGTTTTCTTTCCCTCTGCCCACTGCGCCTGCATCCGTGGACTCCCATCCCGAGGAGCTCTTGTGTGGAGGCCCCACATTTATTTGTCTCTTATCTTCACCTACATCTCCCATGACACCCAGTCAGCACCTTCCCTGCTCGTGGTGCACCTGCAGCTGGCTGAGGCGCTGGCCCTGTCAAAAGAGAAGATGCCCTGCAGGCTGGGCAACAGCACCTGCTGATAACCCAGCAGAGGCAAATTCCCACGAAGGGATTCCACCACATGAATGAGCTAACTGGATGCCTGAAGGGATTCATTTCTCACATGCTTCCTATGCAAAGAAGACAGAAAAAGATGCCAGAAGGACTAGCCCGGGGTGACATGGCAGTTCACCCAGGTGTGTGGAGTTGGCCCTCCTGATGCTTCCCGGCTGCGGGACCCAGGACGAGTTTAACCTTTGTGCATGTCTGCACTCAGCCATGAGACAGGGAAAAAGCCTTGACCTGGTGGAGATGTGAGAAGGAGGCGAGGGTCTCTGTGTAAAAAACTCAGCACGGAGCATAGAGCCAGCTAGAGCCACACCGCCTGCCTGCGGTAAGTGCGAGGTCTGCTCTGTCTGCCAATGTGTCCCAGTGCCTCCAGGAGCATCTGACAGACAGCTGGCACTCCAAACACCTGTCAGAGGAATACCACTGTTCCCTTTTTTTATAACCCACATCATCTTCAGCTTACTTTTCCTTAATCAGTGTGTATAAAAATATTTCAGACAAAGATATCTACTACCTTTTTATATTAAAAAAGGAATTTTGTTCTTAAAAATGAGTCAACCTTTTTGTCTCACGAAATATTTGTAGGAAATGATGCATGGCATCATCTTAAAAAAAACAAAAATGAAGGGGGTAAGTAACAGTCAAATGTTCTGGAAAAGTACACAGAACGGTCTAGTGGCTGAAGTTATTGACTGGTCTCCTATTAAAGGCTGCACAAACAAATAGAGCTTATCTTTGCCCAGCTTTGAAAACAACGTGGCAAAAGCCCTAATATTAGGCAGGGGCACTGCTTAGCAGGTGCAGTTATAGTGAGTAGGGCCAGATGGGTCACCGTGTCCCCTGGGCACATGCATGCCAGGCTACCTCTGCAGGGCAGACAGGATGGTCCCAAACTAGGAAGAGATGCCTACAGTAACAGATTGATTTAAGAAGCCCCTGGAGTACTCCTCTCTCTACAGGATCCCTCACTTTTACCAATGCTTAGGTAATACCCATTGCAAACACCATATTCCCAAAGTATGTTCCATGGAACACTGGCCACTACAGATGTTCCACAGAAGAGGGGTTCCACTGTCAAAAAGCCTGGGAAATGCTGCATATGCTATCCCCCATCCAATATTCAGAGTGCACTTGCTAGTTTCCTGTATTAAAGAAATGAACCTTTAAATTTCATTCTATGCTAAAAAAAAAATAAATAAATAACAGGTACTAATGATTTAAATGGTCACAGTGTAGAAAACAGCAAATACAACACACTTTTGCTATGGAAGAGCAAAATAACTGGCGGTAAAAACTAAGT